TAATGAAGTGATTCGTGTATGCTGAACCACGTTACATTGCTGAGATGAAGCATACTTGGTCCTGATGTATGATCTGCTTTACTGCTTTGTTATCTTCTGTTTGCCATTATCTTGCTGAGGACTTTTGCATCTGTGCTCTTTACCACAATCACAACATGCCCATTTCCTGTGTCTCACTGCCATGCTGTTTGAAGAAGCTATGACCAGAGCCTGGCTGTAGGATTTATAGCCCCAGTGAAACAAGCTGCCCCCAGCACAGTCACGCTTGTGTCAGGGGAGGATCAAGGCTAAGGGAATGTGTCAAAGAGAGTGGCCTGTAGTGGTCTTTTTCAGTTTGACCTTTGGTTTGGGAATGAAGGTAATGCTGGCTTCTAGGAATGAGGGTGGAAGTGATCCTTCCCTTTTAATTTCATGAAGGACTTTGAGGCCTTTTTCCATTAGATCTTTCCCAAAGTTCTTATCCAATTGAGTGGTGAATCTCTTGAACCCTGGGCTTCTTTTTGATGGTATTTTATTAGTTCCTTGAGTTTGTGGCTTCTTATTGGACTTTTCTGGGCTTTTGCCTTCTTAATTCAGATTGTTTTTCCCCCTCCTGTTCCTTTTTGAGACAGGGTTTCACTGTATGGTTGAGGCTAACTGTCAAGTCACTTTGTAGCCCAAGCTGACTTTTAACTCCCAGAAATCCTGCCTCAGCCTTTCAAGTGCTGAAATTACAGGTGTGTGCCACATTGCCTTGTGATTCAGTTTGGATAATTCATAGGTGTCAAGGAATGTATTCATTTATTTAGTATTCTCAAGTGTATTGAATTGCATGTTTTAAAAGTACTTAATCTTGTGAAGCTTGGCATAGTCCCTTTTGATTTTACCTTTTTTTATTTCTGATTTGGTTGATAAGGGTCTTTCCCTTCATTCTTTTGGTAAATTTGTTCTAAGGGTTGATGTATTTTTTAAAAAATTTTATTTAAGGAGAAAAGAGAAAAAAAAAACAGAAAAAGGGTACAAGTTATACAGAATTTCAGAAAAAAATAAACAGTAGGAAATCACTAATTACATATTGTCATCTTCGAAATAGTTTTGAAGTTACAAAATTAAAGCATATAGAGGGGACTTTCAAGCAGTGAGACTGCAGTTTTGTTCAATGATCCAACAAAACTCAGTAATATGGTTATCTATCTTATACACTTAAATATATATGCAGTTATATCTTTTAGAGAACTTTTCTTTCTTTTGTACAGTGACAATTACACATTTTGGGTTTTATTGCTCCCACAGTTCTTATTACTTTTTTTTTTGAAGAAAGTAAAACCAAATGTGACGAACCAGGACAGAGTCAAATCAAAATGATGGACATAATACACAAAGTAAAAACAAAATACAAGGTTGATCAACAATGGTTACCATAATGCCTCTTGTTATCTTAAAAAGAATTGCCTATATCATCAGTTATAATAAAATTGAACAAACAGTAAAGAATAAGACCAATAAAACCAAAACATTGGAGACATTAGAGGACTTCAAAAGAAGATAATAGTCAACCAGAATGGGCGTCACAATGAATCTTATTGTCTTCATAATTGTTGCCTATACTTTCAAACTTGGTACTATCAAGCATAACAGAATAGAGGAAAATCAGTCAAAACAAGATGGTAAGAGCAATACAGAGTTTCAAATCAAATTAATGAGAAATCAAAGTGGGTTACTATAATATATCCTGCTATTGTTTATTTATTTTTCCCTTAATTAAAAGGATAAAAATTAAAAAGTAGATAACAAAAAGGAAGATTGAGATAAAAAAGAGGGCATAACAACAAAACAGCGCAGGTCCAAACATAGCCACTTAAGCAAAATAGTATTTCACCACAAGATAATCTCGACATAATAGTAGTTACCATAGTGTCTTTTCCCTTAAAATCTTTGGGCATAACTTCATGTACTGTACCATCAAACATACCAAGAAAATGTAAAACCATTCAAGAGAATGACAGTATTGCAGGGTATTTAGAATGAACTAACAGAAAATGAACAATGGTTTCTGTATTATCTCCTTGTCTATAAGTTTTTGTTTATATTATCACACATAATATACATGGAGGATGTTGTGACTGATACCAGAAATGGAGCTACATGGAAGTAGGCTCTGCACATAGCACATGCCCAGACTGTGTACTGAACTCCTGTTTGCAAGTGCCTGGAACCTGAGAACACTCTGTATGCTCTTCCATGTTTGCAGAACAGGGACAATAATAGTACATTCACAGAGTGAAGAGGTGTTGGTTGCCACATGGGGAAATGGAACCATATGTGTCTTGGCTCTTTCCACTCGATGGCACTCAGATTTACAGAATGACATCACAGCTTGCCTGTCTCTGATAGTTCATGCAGTGAGTAAATATAAACAGAATTTCACAGCATTTCTGTGACAAAAAGATCAAAAGACCTTGGGTGGCAAGAACAGTGACCTGAGGTTTATTTCCACATAGGCCAGAAAGAGATGCGGCCATGAGGCTCTTGCTGAAGAAAACAGGGACTTGGGGTGATGGCACATAGGAGTTCTGTCCTCTGTCAGGTGAGGCTGACAGGAAGCAGAACTCTGAGATGAGACACGTGGTGGAAATGAAAGCCTGACAGGTGAGATACCACTGATGCCTGGAGGAGGATGGATTCTCAGCAGTGGCAGGGAAAGGGATGCCCTAGGGCTCCTCTGGGGGAAGGCAGCAGTGTGGCGGGACAGCAGGTGGGAGCTGGGAGCCTCAGCTTCACAAATACACTTCCAGAGACCTGGGGAGGCTTCCAGCCTTACAGATGTGCAGAGAAGAGGGAAAGACTGGTTAGGAGAGACCATGGAGGCACATGACTAGAGTCCCCCAGGAACCCCTTCAGGTAGAGATCTGAGCCCACAGAGCACAGGTGTCAGTGGGCCTTGCAAGGGTACACTCCCCTCTCCTCATTCTGGCCCATGTGCAGGGGTGAGGTACGCACTGAGAGACCCAGGCTGACACAGTCTGCCAGGCACAAGGAACTCAGTGAAGCTCCTGAGGTCCCAGACTTCTACTCCTCCTCTAAAACCAAAGGGTACTCCTGGCCAAGCTTTAGTGGACTCTCTCAGCTGAGACCCTGAGAACTGAGAAGCCTGAACAGTTGAGCTGTGCTTCCAGCAGGATGATGGTGTTCTCACTGCTGTCATCAGGCAGAGATCCTGCTTCAGGTTCAATCGCAGGTATGTCGCTGCTCAGAGGATGTTCTTGTGGTGCTGGTGAAAAGGGCTGCCCAGAACCCAGGGAGGACAGCTCCTCCACTGATATCTCTGAAAAGTCATTCACTTTTTCATCACGTACATGAACACTGACATGGAGTTAGGTATGGACAGTTTGAAAAAAAAATTTATATTGGAGGAGAATGAAGTTTCCTAGGTGAGCCTCCATCAAAGCTTCAGGGTGAATTCCAATACCTTGGGCCTTCCAGACAGAGAAAGAAGGAAACTGTTCTCTGACCTGGGCATTGTCTGACTGCTATGTGAATGGAAGCGAGAGCAGGAGACAGAGACAGAGAAGCACAACAGAGAAGCAGACAAAAGAGGGTCACAGGTATGAGAGAGCAGCCCCTGCTCAGGCCACTTTCCACATAACCAGCTGAGGAGGAGAGAGAGCAGGTTCCCGCTGAGGTGCAGCTGGACAGGGAATTTCCAGGGAAAACTATGGCAGGGGTAGTGTAGAAACAATGGGGATTTGCCTAGGTCCAGGGATGACAGGCTTTGCAGTGACTGCAGGAGAACTTGGGCCCTCTCAGCCTGTTCTCATCAATACCGAGACATGACATGGCTCTCTGTGGCTGTTCTATCTACCTTCCTTTCTGTCCATAAACTCACGCCCATAGTTCAGAAAGACAAGGTGCATGGAACACTGACTTTAACCTTTCCGAGGAGAAGAGGTATCTTTCAAGGCATGCAGGTCCCAAGATTTCTTAGTTCTCTTGGGCACATGCCCTCTCTAATCATCTGAGAGGATACAGAGCACTTTGTATGAGTCAAATTGGCTATGGCTGGGGGCTGGGGATTTAGCTCAGCCTCATAAGCACCTGCCTTGCAAGCAGGCAGTCATGAGTTCGATCCCCGGTACCAATAAAAAAGAAAAAGACAAAAAAAAGTGGCTATGGCTGGATCAGGGATGCCATGATGCTGGTGGGCAATTCTAACTCTTGAGAGTCCCATGTGTGGGCACTCCTGAACCTTGGTCTTGAGATTTATACAACTCCTCTCTTGTCACACTTGCTTATGGCCCCTAACTGTACATTGTTACCTGGGATCCAGTGACTGAGTCTCCTTTTCTTCTTTGTCTCTATCAGAGTGGTGCTCTGCAAGCAAATTCAGGAACGTCCAGATGGCTATTGCATGGTGCCACTGCACCTGTCACTTGTGGCTACTGCAGCATGAGGACACGGATGGGTGTGCATGATTTTCAGATGGATGTGGGGATCAGTACTGAATGACCTCTGTGCTGCCTCACAGAAACAGTCTGTGATGACATCCTGCTCTCTAGTACACACTGTCCCTATTTGGGGAAGTTGGTCCAGGCCTACCCTGAGTTGTACTGGGCCAAGTTTACTTTGATCTCGGTCTGCAGAGACCGGCATCCTCCTCACTCCTGTCATGCACCTGAACCAGATGGCTAATAGATTCACATCTCCTCATGGCTCCCATCTCCTCTGCTTCTTTTCACCAAGAACAGGAGAAACGAGCCTGTCCTACAGTGTCCACAAACTGCCTCCCGACTAGCACCCTCTATCTGCCTTCTGTCATTTATGTACGGGAGTTGTGGCCCTGTTACTCAAAACCCATGACCATTTTCTATGACATATGATACCAAGAGAAATGGCAGGAGTGACCAGAGCCCTCCAAAAGAACATTACAGAGTCCCTACTTGAATGCTATAACCACAGTGAACAGAAATCAAGGCAGTAGTCCTCACCTGGGCCAAGCTGACTGGCAAGGTCCTTGGCCACCTTGCACCACCCCAAATGGTTTCTCTGGTGGCTTTGTCCTGGATGCCTCGCAGGGCCATCCTGAGACAGCACGTCTCTGATATTCTGTCTTAAGTAAAAGATGATGGACCTCCATTTTGAAAATGGCTCCGCATTCAAACATGTGAAACTTTCAGTGGCAAACCTGAAATACACAGAGGAGAAAAGAGGACAAAACACATCATCAGAGCTCACCTGCCAGACATGGCGATAAATGACAACACAGCATGTTCCAAAGACAGAGGGAAACCAATGCAGGGAAATTGGGGTGATGGTCAGTGATCAGGACATACCCAAGGACTTTCCTGATTGCACCTCAGAAAGCCCTTTGAATAGAAGGCTGCCATGCGTTTGAGACCCACATATATATGACTTGGTGCACTTGCACATGTATCAAGTGAATTCCTGAGCACAGTTGCACCTCAAACTCTGAGAAAAGTGGTTCTTTGTAGATAAAATTACCTGCCGATAAAAACCTGCCAGTGAATCAAGTCCCCATGTGCAGAGGGCAATTCCACATCCCTGAGTTTCACCTTGCAGGCATCAAATCTCCATCTGCAGAAGAGTGCTGAAACCCATGGTCATCACAGTTCCTCTGTAGCATATTCAGGTATTTCAGAAATTAGTTAAAAAATCAGGATTCCATACCAGGAAAAAGCACAAAGGCAGCAGCATACTTTCAACATATCCACTGCGGTGGGAAGATGGGGTGAAGGAAGTGTGTCAGAGATATGACTTTGTGGGATCTACACAGCAGGCCTCAGCATCATCATAGTTAATATAACTAGCAGTACAGTGTTATGGTTACCTGGTGACCACTGGCTCCAGGGCATCTTCAAAATCCAGGTGATTCTGATCTTCTGGAAATAAAATTAGTGTTGGATGGTGTGTTTTCGTCATCTCTGCCTCATATCCTGCAAGCCCACAATTGTCAATACTTAAAGAAAAACATGACAATCAGAGACAGTGCTGCAGGAAGCCTATGAGAACTTGGGTGACAGGTCAGGGGGCATGGTTTCCCAAGCCCCTGGACAGACATGGACTCTGCTGTGACAGGTGAACAACACAGGGTCCCGGTCTCCATGCTGGGACACAGCTTAGTGAGCATCTTCCCAAAGATGTCCCAGGAACTGGTCTCATACCATCTGATCATCTTCGAAACACCAGACTCATCAAGAACTCCTGAGCTCAGCTGACTAGAGATCTCAAGATCAGACTCAAGTGAAGTAACAAACTCTTTAAGGAGCAGAGTCCTCATGTCCCCTAGGACACACATTCCTTAGAGAGTGCAAGAGCCTGAGGGTTCCAGACTGGCTGTGGTTACTGTTAACTGAGTCTGTGTGCATGGAGGACTCTACAGAGTGTCAAGGAGGTTACAGCCTGAGGGCCACTCAGAGAAGACAGTGCTGGCATCCAAGAAGGTGAGACTCCCAAGGCTCAGATGCATCTCCAGGATACTGGCCGGCACAGTCCTCAGTGTTTATGTCATGGCAGGGAACTGACACCTTTCATGGGAGAGAGGCCCACAAGAGACAGAGATGCTGGCTGGGAGTGGAGGAACCCTAACATCATCTCCAGTGAGTGCATCAAGTGTAGTGATACTTGTACAGTAACTAAAGGTCAAAGCACTCCGGAGCAGCAATTGGCAAGAATACTGCAAGACACCACAGCTGTTCCAGCTTCAAAAGCAAAAGTGAACAAATGAACAGATGCCTGCCAGGACTGTGTTAGTGATGGCTGGGAGCTGTTACAGTGCCTTCAACCAGTGCCCTCAACCAGTGCCCTCCTGTGTCTGTCACACTGAGTTTGCATTGGACGCACAGAAATGGGGGCCACATATATGTAGTTCACTTACTAATGCAGGACTCACCCAGGGCCTGTGGAGAAGGGGCCTCAGCCTCATCCACCTGGGCTGCAGTGGCACAGGGAGGCTGCTGGTTGTCACCAGCCTCACAGGCAGTGGGGGAAGTCTTGTGCTCTTTACCTTGGGAAGCCTGAAGGATGTCTTCCTCCTCATCACAGTGCCAGTGGTCTACACTCACACTGCTGGATGAGGAACAAGAAAACCCAGAAAGATGAGACCTGAGATTTCAAGCATTCTGGGAGAGATGTAAGGGAATGGTCACAAACACAGCACACAAATGTCAAAGATGAATGTGTCCTCCTAGGAAGGCAGAGTGCAGCTGCCTAGACAGTAGGGACAGGAGAGAGGCATGGCAAGTGGGCTGGATGACCAGCTGATGAGGACTCAGCCTCCAACACCACAGACACAACCACAACCCAGAGACCATGTCAGAGCTCAACTTTTCTGTGAATTGGATGACTTTTCTACATGGGCTCAGTCACTGTGGCTGAGAAAGGAGTATGCATGTCTTTGTGAAGCCCAAGTCTCTTTCTATAGACACAGGAACTGAGATTTTTTGATCATCTTAGGTTTTGTAGCAGGAAGTTCCTGCCAATGAGCTGAGGGGAACAATACAGAACCAGATCCAAACCTCAGCCAGGATGTTTTCACAAAACAGGAAAGTGGACTGTTTATGAGTTCAAAATACCGGTGAGGTTGTTTTAGGTGCACTTGGGTAGAGAGATGAGTTCCCAGTTGGGACAAGACCCACACCGATAGAAAGGTGCTTCTGTTGGCTTGAAGGAATGGACTCAGAGTGCCAGCTTCAGGATGCCTTCCTGCCGTGCAAGTTGTGCTCTCTTGACCTTCAGCTCTTCTTTCATGGGACCCACGCCAGTGGTCCCCATATGAGTCCCAGCCCTGACTGTCCAGTTACCTGGTGGCCGGTGCTGGCTCTTCTATTCCCTCCTCCTCCTCTTTTGGAATCTCTGCAACCAAATTCACATATGTGCAGTCAGGCACTGAGTAGTTCCCCATCCCCATTACAAACCCCAGGGCCACGATGGCATGGAAATGGAAATAGAAGCCATGAGGTTGGGGTTTGGGAAACTGCAGAGTGATCTTTATTCAAATCAGATGTCCTCCACCACATCTCCCTTCCAGCTTTAAAACTAGGAGAATGAGGCCTCCCCAGGTCATAGCCAGGTTCCCTCAGGGAAGTTTGAGTTTTTTGTGCTGCCAAGTCTCCACCCACGGTGTTTGCTTTGCCCCACCACGGCGAACCATAGGTAGAATACATGCAGCAGGATAATTCTGTCAGGGCTTCTGTCCTCCAAGAGGAAGAAAGAAAAGAGGGAAGGAAGGAGGGTCTGTCCTGTGCCTGAGCTCATGTGGAACACCACAGTGAGCATTTGAGCACAGGAACCTAGGATGCCCAGGAAGGGCAGTAGCAGAATAATAAGTCCCACTCAAGAGGATGGCGTCCCTCATACTGGGAAGTGTCCTGACTTACTGGGAGGTGGCAGCAGAGAGGGAATTTCACAGAATAAGTGGTTAAGGAGCTGAGACCCACAGAAGGGAAGTTGACAGCACTGCTGGACCATGCACCCCAGGGAGCAGCAGATCTTGCTCATGAGGACAGCATAGCGCAAAGAATGGCAGATGGCTACATAACGGTCATAGGACATGAAGCCTAAGAGAACAGCTTCACATCCACCAAGGCTCAGGAACATAAATGTCTGCATCTCACAGCCCGACAATGTGATGGTCTTGGTGTTCATCAGGAAGTTCGTAGTCATCTTGGGCACAGTGTTGGAGATGTGCATCATGTCGATGAGGGAGAGCTGACTGAGCAAGAAGTACATGGGTGTGTGGAGCCTGCTCTCCACTCGGTTGAGGTGGACCAGCACAGCCACCAAGAAGAGGAAGACAATAGCAGCAAAGAGAAAACCATTCATGCTGCCATTTTGGAAAAGACCAGCCAGCATAAAGTCTGTCCCAGAGCTTTGACTTCCTGTTTTCATGGCTTAAATTAAAAAATAAAAGCAGATAATGTATCCATGGAATAATGTAATTATTTTTTGAAGAACAAAAAGAATAATTAAATACAAATGGTGTTTCTGTAATTACTTCAAGTGAAAATACAATGTCTGCTATTAGGTACAATAAACATGACTGTATTGAATTACAGTTGTTTTTGCTTATTTTTGAGTTTTACTGCAGTTGGTATGAATAGTTATAGGTGTAATGGGGAACCTGTGGTGTTTCAGCTAATGTATCAGTGAATACAGATTAAGATGAAAAGACTCTCATTACTGTTCTCTGAATTGTAGGAAACCTTTTTTTTTTTTAACTCTTTGGGACTTCCAATTCCTCTTTTCAGATCTATGTAAATTGCAAGGGAAAGTGAAAATAAAAATGTTTACTGAAAGCAGAATAAACTATAAAGGAATTTTTAATCATTTTGATGATGTGTTTGCCAAAATTCCATTTTCCATTTGTGTGTACATTAGGGTGATGGATTAAATGGTTGTTCATTAGTGAAAACATTCTGCTCAGTTCTTTCCTATGAGTAACATTTTGTCAAATAATGGTTGCTGCATAGTGGTGTAAATTTCAATGAAGTTTTACTTAATCTTTATTTTACTTTTATTGGTTATAAGTAGGAATAAAAACTTCAGTAAAATTTTTTGAAGATGATATTGTACCCTAATGAAATATGAGTTGGTATGCATTGTTTTTCTTGTAAAAACTTTATAGGTTTGACTAACCTGTTAACCAAAATAAGGGTGAATTTGAAATGAGTCATCTAAATTTAGCTTAACATTTATGAGTCTTCAATTGAAGCATGCTGTAAAGATTGTGCAATTCAAAGATAAGAACTGAAATGTTTGTTTCTGACACAAATTTGCTTTTATACATTCTTTAGGTATATTACCTTCTAATTATAGATTTTATGTTCTAAAACTACACTGAGTTGTGGTCTGAAACATTATTGTCCACTCTCAGGGTTTACTGGGTCTAATATAAAGAAATATCATGGTGCTAATTTGTCATTTTCAAAAGATTATCTGGTTACCATATTTTGGCAGAAAACCTTCATTGATCTAAAATATTTAAAACTGAAGGAGAAAACTTACTAAAAATAGGCAACAATTTAAGTATGTATGTTTTATGTAAATCATGTTCTTTTTGTTGTAGTTTGAAATATTTTCACATGACTAATAAGAAACATACAATAAAGAAACATTTAATATGATAATGAAATATTGTATACTCTAAAAATATTGCAATAACTAATGCTCCATATCACAAACTATATAAAATAAATATCATCAGGTGGTAGCTTTTAGTGAAAATCCATGAAATTCAATCTATATTTCTAAGTTATATTTCTTCCAATGATACAATTATTTTAATAAGAATAAGGAAAATAACAGACTGAGCTGAAAAGAAGGGTTTACACTGTTTAAAAGGGTAACACAAAAGAAATGTTAGAGGTTAATAAGGGCCAGGGATTTAGCTCAGTGGAGTAAGAGCATCCCTGACAAGTGCAAAGTCATGAGTTTGATTGCTGGTACCAAAAAAAAAAAAAAAAAGAAAGAAAGAAAGAAAGAAAGAAAGAAAGAAAGAAAGAAAGAAAGAAAGAAAGAAATTATACCTACAGATAGAGAGTTTAATGAGTAAAATATGGGCATAATTGACCAAGATACAGAAAGAAGGCAAAAGATTACAGTTTATTAGAAATGACACAACAAAATTAACTACAATGTCAAAATATATGTCCTATGTGACGTAAGTTATTATTCTACTGAGAAAACTGCTTTTTAAACAGGAATAAAATCTGTAATGTTTTCTAATTATTGCAATAATTATTTCATCAGAATAAAGACATTCAAATTTATTAGTATTTACTCCTTTCGAAAAATACATGCACAAAATGAAATTTAAAAAAAAATCCAAAGGAGATTCTAAAGGCAATTTAGAAAACAATTGAAAATATTACGTATCAGTATTTTACAAAATGAGTAAAATAGAAGACTAGACAGAATAACTGGAAAAGACTGTGAATAGGTGATGAAAAAATAATAAAATAAAACTGTTGTAATATGCTAATT